CACTCACCTCAGCCTCCCAAAGGCGCGGGATTATAGGCTGAGCCACCGAGTCCGGCTAAACCCACAATGTTTTAATGAAAGAAGATGAATAGTGTTTCCTGAATGCAGTTACTGGCTCACATGGTCCAGGTGTTTATCTTTTTCCAAAAATCCTGGGAATTTACCATCAACTGTCATAGGCCTCAGCCGCCATCACTGCCTGTCAGTCGGCTAGAAAGCTGTCTTCTTTTTCCCTTGCATGATGCTTTAAAAATAAAACAACTGGCCCGGTGCAGTGGCTCACGCCTGTAATCCCAGCACTTTGGGAGGCGGAGGTGAAGGGATTGCCTGAGCTCAGGTGTTCAAGACCAGCCTAAGCAACATGGTGAGACCTCATCCCTACAATAAATAAAAAAAATCAGCTGGGTGTGGTGGCATGGTTCCAGCTACTTGGAAGTCTGAGGAAGAAGGAGCACCTGGGCCCAGAAAGTCAAGGCTGCGGTGGCCGTGAGCGGGCCACTGCACTCCGGCCTGGGTGGCACAGTGACACAGTGAGACTCTGACTCACATAAACAAATAAATAAATAAAACACTACAAACAAAATTCCTGTGGCGTGAGGTTCTCCAGCCATCCAAGACTGGTCTAGTTGCTTCTGCCCCGGTTGAGAAAAATATCAGATAAGATGGCAAAGGCGAGGCTGGGCGTGGTGGCTCACGCCTATAAACCCAGCTCTTAGGGAGGCTGGGGCGGGAGGATTGCTGGAGCCCAGGAGTTCCAGACCAACCTGGGCAACTTGGCGAGACCTTGCCTCTATTTAAATAAAATTTAAAAATAAACAAATACAATGGCAAAGGTGGGAGAAATGACCTTTTTCAGGAATGGCACATACGTAAGATGGTGTCTTTCTTTGACCCTTTCTTTTCTTTACTAACTGCAGGGGAGGCGACAGGAAGGCAGCAAGTCCCCACCTCCCCGCCAGCCTCGGAAAACAGCAGCGCGGCCCACAGCATTGGTAGCACTCAGAGCACGCCATGTTCCAGCAGCAGCACAGCCTAGCCCAGCCCTGCCTGGCCCAGCCCAGCCC